AAAATGAAAGTATAGTGTTATATATAGCTATATATTCGAAAGTATTTATTTGATTGTACTTGTTTTATAGATATTTATTGATTTCAGTGTATCTTCTACAAATTTTAATAATACTAATAACCATAAATTTTTTTTATAATTGTTATGCAATATATGTAGATATTAGTATGTTTTTTATACGTTTCCCCGCGTTTATTGCGGATTATAATCTAGTTTTATAAAAATAGTGAAATTTTATGTAAGAATTATAATAAAAAAATTAGAAAAAGAATTGCCCTGCTGGGATGATAGAAAAAGATTTGCATGGATGCGATCATAAAAAAGAAAAAGAAAAAGAATTATCATAAATGACTTACTAATACCAATCAAGGTAGTCCCCATATTGGAATATTTTCCGTTCCCAATTTTCATTAATTCCTAGTTTTCATTAATTTTTCATAATAATATTCATGTCTATGTTTCTACAATTTAGGCAACAATCAAGCTAGTAAATTTTCATTAATTTTCTTTAAAATATTCATTAACTTTCTGTAACAATATTCATGTTTACGTTTCTATAATTTAGGAGTTAATAAATAATAATACACATAAGAATATTCGCATTCTAAATATAAGAGATACATAATATATCATTATGGTTATATAAACTATACAAAATTACATAAATGGTTGATGTAGTATGGATAATAGGCACTTTTAATACAAGTTTAAAAAAATGTGCAAACTCAATCCTGGTGTCTTGTTGATATTGTGGAGATGGTTCTTTTCACAAACGACGCCAAAAAATATATATTTTATCAAATGACATTTTTTTTAATATTTTATTATCATTTCTTTAAATTGTAGGGACCATTTATATAACTTATCTTAAGAATTTGAGAAAATTTCAACCATGTACATGAAGATCAATATTTCATTCGATGTCAAAAAGAATTTATCTTCTTTACCGATCCCTCTTCTTTAAAAAAGAATCATAATAACTCATATGTCATCTGATGAACTTTTAAACCCCATTTAAAGATATGTCGTTGATTTGTATCTAATTTCCCTCCAATGAAAGTGCACTCGATGTTTAGGTTTACCATCTGTTGCCACAAAGACACACACAAGCGACCATGATTAAGTTAATAGTTCTAGTATTTTACATAAATGGTCCCTATAGTTTAGGGAAGTAATAATAAAATAAAAAAATATAAAAAAAATGTAAAAAACGTAAAAATGTCATTTTACATAAATTTAACGGGAGTTTTTGAGGTCGTGTGTGAAAAGGACCATCTACGCAATATTGACAAAACACAAGGAGTGAATTTGTCCATTTCTTTTGAACTAGTATTAGAAGTGCCTATTACCTCATACCATTGGGACCATTTATGTAATTTTGTAAATAAACTATAAAACCTATTAAACTTGGATTATTATCCTAATTAAATAGCTTATATTTCCAACAACCCTTTTAAAAAAAAGGGCCCCATTACTGCTTTATTGTCTTCCAATACGTGGGAAACGAAAACAAAAGCTAAAGAAAAACGAGGAAAAGATAAAACATAAAGAAATGGAGAAATAGCAGAGACTTAACTTGACTTCATTTTGGTAAAGCCGAACTGTTTTGGGGTTGTTTGGCTTAGCTTTTCACAAAGCCAAAATCCTTTTTCGAAAGTACTTATTTGATTGTATTTGTTTTATAGATATTTATTGATTTCAGTGTATCTTCTACACATTTCAATAATACTAATAACCATATATTTTTTTTAATAATTATTATTTATTACCTCCTAAATTATAGAAACGCTGGTTGGGATGATAGAAAAAGAATTGCCGTGCTGGGATGATAGAAAAAGAATTGCATGAATGCGATCATACTTTTTTTTTTATCATAAATGACTTAATAATACCAATCAAGGTAGTCCCCATATTGGAATATTTTCCGTTCCCAATTTTCATTAATTACTAGTTTTCATTAATTTTTCATAATAATATTCATGTCTACGTTTCTACAATTTAGGCAACGATCAAGGTAGTAAATTTTCATTAATTTTCTTTAAAATATTCATTAACTTTCTATAACAATATTCATATTTACGTTTCTATAATTTAGGAGGTAATAAATAATAATACACCTAAGAATATTCGCATTCTAAATATAAGAGATACATAATATATCATTATGGTTATATAAACTATACAAAATTACATAAATGGTCGATGTAGTATGGGTAATAGGCACTTTTAATATAAGTTTAAAAAAATATGCAAACTCAACCCTGGTGCTTTGTCGATATTATGGAGATGGTTCATTTCACATACGACGTCAAAAAATATATTTTTTATAAAATGACATTTTACTTTTTTTTTTAATATTTTATTATCATTTCTTTATTAAGTAGGGACTATTTATGTAACTTATCTTAAGAATTTGAGAAAATTTCAACCATGTATATGAAGATCAATTGTTGGAGTTGGGAAACGAAAACCAGTCCTTTCAAGATTTTGAGAAAAAAATTTCATTCGATTTCAAAAAGAATTTATCTTTTTTACTGATCGCTCTTTTTTAAAGAAGAATCATAATATCTCATATATCATCTGATGAGCTTTTAAACCCCATTTAAAGATATGTCGTTGATTTGTATCTAAATTCCCTCCAATGAAGGTGTAGTCGGTGTTTAGGTTCACCGTCTGTTGCCACAAAGACACACATACAAGCGATCATGATTAAGTTAATAGTTCTAGTATTTTACATAAATGGTCCCTATAGTTTATGGAAGTAATAATAAAATAAAAAAATATAAAAAAATGTAAAAAACGTAAAAATGTCATTTTACAGAAATTTAACGGGAGTTTTTGAGGTCGTGTGTGAAAAGGACCATCTACGCAATATTGACAAAACACAAGGAGTGAATTTGTCCATTTCTTTTGAACTAGTATTAGAAGTGCCTATTACCTCATACCATTGGGACCATTTATGTAATTTTGTAAATAAACTATAAAACCTATTAAACTTGGATTATTATCCTAATTAAATAGCTTATATTTCCAACAACCCTTTTAAAAAAAAGGGCCCCATTACTGCTTTATTGTCTTCCAATACGTGGGAAACGAAAACAAAAGCTAAAGAAAAACGAGGAACAGATAAAACATAAAGAAATGGAGAAATAGCAGAGACTTAACTTGACTTCATTTGGTAAAGCCGAACTGTTTTGGGGTTGTTTGGCTTAGCTTTTCACACAACCAAAATCCTTTTTCGAAAGTACTTATTTGATTGTATTTGTTTTATAGATATTTATTGATTTCAGTGTATCTTCTACACATTTCAATAATACTAATAACCATATATTTTTTTTAATAATTATTATTTATTACCTCCTAAATTATAGAAACGCTGGTTGGGATGATAGAAAAAGAATTGCCGTGCTGGGATGATAGAAAAAGAATTGCATGAATGCGATCATACTTTTTTTTTATCATAAATGACTTAATAATACCAATCAAGGTAGTCCCCATATTGGAATATTTTCCGTTCCCAATTTTCATTAATTACTAGTTTTCATTAATTTTTCATAATAATATTCATGTCTACGTTTCTACAATTTAGGCAACGATCAAGGTAGTAAATTTTCATTAATTTTCTTTAAAATATTCATTAACTTTCTATAACAATATTCATATTTACGTTTCTATAATTTAGGAGGTAATAAATAATAATACACCTAAGAATATTCGCATTCTAAATATAAGAGATACATAATATATCATTATGGTTATATAAACTATACAAAATTACATAAATGGTCGATGTAGTATGGGTAATAGGCACTTTTAATATAAGTTTAAAAAATGTGCAAACTCAACCCTGGTGCTTTGTCGATATTATGGAGATGGTTCATTTCACATACGACGTCAAAAAATATATTTTTTATAAAATGACATTTTACTTTTTTTTTTATTATTTTTATTATCATTTCTTTATTAAGTAGGGACTATTTATGTAACTTATCTTAAGAATTTGAGAAAATTTCAACCATGTATATGAAGATCAATTGTTGGAGTTGGGAAACGAAAACCAGTCCTTTCAAGATTTTGAGAAAAAAATTTCATTCGATTTCAAAAAGAATTTATCTTTTTTACTGATCGCTCTTCTTTAAAGAAGAATCATAATATCTCATATATCATCTGATGAGCTTTTAAACCCCATTTAAAGATATATCGTTGATTTGTATCTAAATTCCCTCCAATGAAGGTGTAGTCGGTGTTTAGGTTCACCGTCTGTTGCCACAAAGACACACATACAAGCGATCATGATTAAGTTAATAGTTCTAGTATTTTACATAAATGGTCCCTATAGTTTAGGGAAGTAATAATAAAATACAAAAATATAAAAAAATGTAAAAAGCGTAAAAATGTCATTTTATAGGAATTTAACGGGAGTTTTTGACGTCGTGTGTGAAATGGACCATCTACGCAATATTGACAAAACACAAGGAGTGAATTTGTCCATTTCACTCCATTGGGACCATTTATGTAATTTTGTAAATAAACTATAAAACCTATTAAACTTAGATTATTATCCTAATTAAATAGCTTATATTTCCAACAACCTTTTTAAAAAAAAGGGTCCCATTACTTTATTGTCTTCCAATAGGTGGGAAAGGAAAAGAAAAGCCAAAGAAAAAGGAGGAAAAGATAAAACATAAAGAAATGGAGAAATAGCGGAGACTTGAACTTGACTTCATTTTGGTAAAGCCGAACTGTTTTTAGTGTATCTTGATTCCTCTGTTTTTGTTCAAAAGAAATGTTGATTGCGCCTTTAATGTACGGAGAAGCTTTAGAAAAGCAATCGTCGAATCTTTTCTCTGCTATTAGATCTCTACTACGATCACTTCCTTAGACAGTAAGATAAGACACATCATTTTCTAAACGACAAGACAAGAACAAGAACAAGAAAACCCAGTTTCATATTCGAGTTTGGATTCTCATTTTTGGTTTTTTATAATCATTAGAAGGCGATGATGGAAGGGGGTTCCTCAGGGAAGAAAAAAAGAGCTGCTAAGAGCCAAGATCACGACTTTGCACAGTTGATCTTTTCATGGTCTCTGGACGACATACTCAATGACAACCTTTATGAACACCAGGTTTTTCCTTTACACAGTTGATCGTTCCTTTCTTTTTGCAGTTCTTGAAGTCTTTTGTTGTTTTGTTCTTTTTTAGTTTCCTAGGTGAACCCATTCTCGATTTTCATACATATAATGCATGTAACTTGGATCATTCCACTTTTTCTTACCCCTGTCTTATTTTTAAAATTGTAGTTGTTCTTTCAGATTAGCCCTTTGTTTAGGAAACCATTGGTCTATTATTTCAATCGGGCATCTTATCACAAAATTGAATTGAAACATTCGACTGTTTAGTTATAATTATGAAGTCCATTTTGATTTCACATATACATCCAAAAGTTGCAGAGATCACATAAACTTCTTGAAAAAATTATAACCCATTGACCTCAAAGTCAACTTTTTTTCATTTTGGGCTGGAATATTTATCATTCTTTTTCTTTCGTTCCCAGATCAGTGGCATGAAGATAGCTGATTATTTGTTTTTTGAGAAACATAAAACATAAACTTTTTTGTGATTTCCTCATAAGTCATAACTATATGTTGTTTAAATAAGCTGGTTGGCTTTATCTTTTTAGATCATATCTCCATCACATGAATCTTTCTTGTGACTTGATGCATCATTTGCAGGTGGAGAAAATACCACTTACTTTCCAATCTGAAGAACACTACTTTCGTTCTTTTGTGTATCCTTTGCTTGAGGAAACACGTACTGAATTGGCTTCCAGTATGAAGATGATGTACAAAGCTCCATTTTCTGAAATTTCTTCTTTTAAGAAGGCCAAAGGAAAAGAGAAAACGATGTATGATGTTACTGTTGCTACTTGGAGAAACAGTGAACGCCGAAAAGAGCCTTATCAGACTTTACCTGGTGATCTGCTTATTGTAACAAATGGAGGACCCGGATCTGTTTCTGATTTGCAGAGTGTGGGTAGTACATGGGCTTTTTTATTAGTAAATAACACGGAGGATGATGATAGTGGTACACCCGTACAGTTTAAAGTCACTGCATCACAAAAGATTGAATTCCATGATGGGATGTTTGTTGCTTTCTTGATGAATATAACAACCCAGAAAAGAATCTGGAATTCATTGCACAAGCATGTAAATCTTGATATTATCAAAGAGATTCTTTACCCTGATTCAGTGGTAAGAAGTTATTATAGTCATAATTAGTTGATAAAATCTTCCTTTGTTAAGTCTTAACATCAGTGTTTATTATCAATGTCCCTTGTTACAGGTTAAGGAGAGGTGTGATATGTGTTCATTAGGTTGCAATAGTTCTGTCCAGAGATTTGATCAAAGTCTTGTTTCTAAACTGAATGAATCCCAGAAAGCAGCTATTATGGCTTCGATTGGTAAAATGGAATGTTGCCATAAATCCTATGTGGAACAAATATGGGGACCCCCTGGAACAGGGAAAACGATGACAGTAAGTGTGATGCTCTCTATCTTCTTGCAAATGAAGTGTAGGACACTTACGTGTGCTCCAACTAATGTTGCCATAGTAGCAGTAGCCTCACGTGTTCTAAGCTTGGTAAAGGAATCATCTAAAACTATAACTGCAAATGGTGATTCGTTTTGTTCCATTGGAGATTTGCTATTGTTTGGCAACAAGGAGAGGTTGAAAGTTGGAAAAGACATTGAAGAAATCTATCTGGATCATCGGGTTGAGAAGCTTACAGAGTGCCTTGGATCTCTGACTGGTTGGAAGCACTGCATAAAATCTATGGTTGATTTACTTGAAGATTGTGTTTCTCAATATCATGTATTTGTGGAAAATGAATCGATGAAAGAAAAACAGGTTACAAATGAAAACAAAAGTAAAACCAACAACTTGAAAGTCAAATCCTTCATGGAGTTTGTGCGAGAACGATTCAGTTCTTTTGTACAACCACTCAGAAGGTGCATTATCACATTCTGTACTCATATCCCAAGAAGTTTCATGAAGCAAGAAAATTTCCAAACTATGGTCTCTCTTTTGGATAATTTAAGCTCTTTGGAATCGTTGTTGTCCCAAAAGAACCTGGTTTCTGAAGAACTTGAGAAAATTTTCGTTTCTAAACCGTTGGAAGGTGATTTTGTTAAGTCAGGTGACATGTCATCGATCAATTCTGTGAGAATCATGTCTCTTTCTCTTCTAAAAAGGCTGCAGACCTCTCTAGGAGGACTCAAGCTGCCAGGTGGCAACAGACATGCAATAACACGGTTTTGTTATGAAAGAGCTTCTCTTTTATTCTGCACAACATCTACCTCCTACGCGTTACAGAAAGTCAAAATGGTGCCTTTGAAGTTATTGGTTATAGATGAAGCTGCTCAGATGAAAGAGTCTGAAGCCATCATTCCCCTTCAAATTCCTGGAATGAAACATGCTATTCTCATTGGAGATGAGTGCCAGTTACCTGCAACGGTTAAAAGCAATGTAAGGCTATTTTAATTTCTATATTTCTATTTTCAAAATTTTGTGTTTTAAGCTATACTTGGATTGAGTCGATGTTTGTGGACAGGTTTCAAGTGAATGCGGATTGGGAAGAAGCTTATTTGAAAGATTGAGTTTGTTGGTGTTAGGTAAAATATGAAAGGTTGAAAACATGTGGCTATGCATGTGAAATAAAAGAATCAATTGTTGGACGGCTAATGTGAATGGAAGGAAATTCAACGTCAACATTTGCGGCTTTCACATTTGAGTACTATTGTCACGACGACTCAACATTTGCGGCTTTCACATTTGAGTACTATTGTTACGACGACTCAATTTCATGTGCAAATTGCGGCTCTCTCACCTATATATATGCATGTATGTTTTGCATATTTTGTGTGCAAAAACTTGAGAGAACATCAAGTGTAGAGTGTCAAGCCAATTGTAATCTTGTGAGTTTTAATAAAATTCTCTAGTTGCAGCCCGTGGATGTAGGATTTGCACCGAATCCGAACCACGTAAAATCCTTGTGTTCTTCTTGCTTTATTTTCGTGAGTTTGTGTGTGTGTGATAGTGTGTTTCCGCTGCGTGTACCCGGTCCGGTTCCTAACAACTGGTATCAGAGCCAGATTAGCGAGGTTTGGAGGGTACAATCATTTTTTTTATCACGCACGAGTGTACGTGATTTGTATCTTGTTTGTCGTAATGGCTGAAGACAAGGTTGTAATCGAAAAGTTCAACGGTTCTGATTTTAGCTGGTGGAAAATGCAACTAGAAGCATTGCTATGTCAGAAAGACTTGGACGTGGTACTCGGAGACAAACCGGAGAAAATGGAAAAAGCTGCTGAAGATGCGTGGAACTCAAAGGACAGAAAGCCAAGGCGGTTATTACATTGTCGTTGACGAAGAGCGTTGCTTTCAACATCATGAATGAAACCACGGCACGTGGTATGATGGAGGCTCTGTCAAATATGTATGAGAAACCATCGGCGGTTAACAAGGTGTTCTTGATGAAGGAGCTGTTCACTACAAGGATGAATGAGGAAGGCTCAGTTACGGTTCACATTAACAATCTAAATTCAATTCTGTCCAGATTATCATCTGTGGGAATTAAATTTGATAACGAGACTCAAGCATCACTGCTACTAGCTTCTCTACCTGATAGCTGGTCCGGAACAGTTACTGCTGTTACGAGTTCCGTGGGGACCAGTGGTATGACTTTTGAAGGGGTTAGAGATTTGGTTCTAGGCGAGGATATCAGACGCAAGAATCAAGGTGGATCTTCCTCTTCTGATTTATTAAATGTCGGAAGAGGTAGAGGGAATAGCAGGAATAGTGGAAGCAGTGGGAGTCGGGGAAGAAGTTCATCTAGAACTAAGAAGAATGTGAAGTGCTGGAACTGCCAGGAGGTGGGACATGTTAAGAGTCAATGTCCAAAGAAAGAATTGAACATTGCGGGTGCTGAGAGTGTGTCTGAGGATGATGCATTGATACTCGGTATGGAAAGTTCTGTAGACTCTTGGGTCATGGATTCAGGGGCTTCGTTTCACGCCATGGACAACGGGGAAACGATGGTGAATCTAAAAGAAGGAGATTTTGGAAAGGTACGTTTGGCAAATGACGAGATGCTTCAGGTAACGGGCATGAGAGATATTGATTTGGTTACTTCATTGGGAACTACATGGAGCCTGAAGGATGTCAGGGTGATTCCGGAGCTGAAGAAGAAATTGATTTCTGTTGGTCAGCTGGATAAACAAGGACTGGAAGTAAGGTTTGGTGGTGGTAAATGGAGGGTGATCAATGATAATCTAGTGATTGCTCATGGTATGAAGTGTGGGTCATTGTATATGGTTGAGGTATCTGCTGAGGGAAGTATGACCGTCCCTGTTAAGCAAGACAAAATCTGGTTCGCTAAATCTACGGCTAAGAGAGTTCATTTTGCAAACATGAATTCTGGAGCCAAGGGGATGTTAGCTGAACGAGTCAGAAATTCTAAACCATTCAGGAGATTCTGTGACAGTGGGAGCACGGGGTGTGTTTCGGGTACAGTTACAAAGAGCCGTTGGGTTTTTTGAAGACTAAGACTGAAAAAGTCTCTCCTGTTGAAAGTTTGCAAAGTTGGGAGAGTGTTAGTGGTCCTCGGTGTATCTCTGGATCTGGTGGAGTGTCCAAACCGGTTGAGACAGAGGATGAGTCGGTGGTGGGATTAGCCACGACTGAGTTGGAGCTAGTGGGAGCTTCAACTGTCCCTTCTAGTACTTGAAGATGAGGGGCGGCTGCAATTAGAGAAATGGGACTAAGTTTAGCTTGTTCTTAGGAACTGGAGGCTTGGAAGACTTGGTTGTTTTAAGATTACTGGAGTTGGATGACAGAGACGGACCATGTTGTTCAAACTTTCAAGTGGGAGATTGTTAGGTAAAATATGAAAGGTTGAAAACATGTGGCTATGCATGTGAAATAAAAGAATCAATTGTTGGACGGCTAATGTGAATGGAAGGAAATTCAACGTCAACATTTGCGGCTTTCACATTTGAGTACTATTGTCACGACGACTCAACATTTGCGGCTTTCACATTTGAGTACTATTGTTACGACGACTCAATTTCATGTGCAAATTGCGGCTCTCTCACCTATATATATATGCATGTATGTTTTGCATATTTTGTGTGCAAAAACTTGAGAGAACATCAAGTGTAGAGTGTCAAGCCAATTGTAATCTTGTGAGTTTTAATAAAATTCTCTAGTTGCAGCCCGTGGATGTAGGATTTGCACCGAATCCGAACCACGTAAAATCCTTGTGTTCTTCTTGCTTTATTTTCGTGAGTTTGTGTGTGTGTGATAGTGTGTTTCCGCTGCGTGTACCCGGTCCGGTTCCTAACAGTTGGGTCATTCTAAGAACCTGCTGAATGTTCAATACAGAATGCATCCTAAAATAAGTTCCTTCCCGAATAGGAAGTTTTATCATAAGCAAATCCTGGATGCAGAAAATGTGACAAGTAAGAGTCATGGAAAGCAATATCTTTCAGGACAGATGTTTGGTTCATATTCATTTATAAATATTGTTGGTGGAAAAGAAGAAGGTGATGATGTTGGGAGCAAAAGAAACATGGTTGAGGTGTCTATTGTGGTTAAGATAGTGCAGAAGCTTTATAAAGGTATACTATTGGTTATATCCCCCGCATGCAGCTGTCGTTTGTCTTTTTGTCTTTCTGTTTTCTTTTTTGTTGTTGGTTAGTTGAATTTGGTTCATATAATCTTTTTAATGTTTCAATGATCATTTCATGACATCTTCTTTCATGTTTGTAGCATGGCACCAGTCCAAGAAAAAGGTTAGCATTGGTGTTGTATCTCCCTATACTGCACAAGTTGTATCGATTGAAGAGAAAATTCGTTACAAGTATGAGAAACATGATGGATTTTCAGTAACTGTAAAGTCAATTGATGGGTTTCAAGGTGGAGAAGAAGACATTATAATTTTATCTACTGTAAGATCAAATAGCCATGGGAATGTTGGATTCATGTCTAGTCCTCAAAGGACTAATGTTGCCTTGACCAGAGCACGGTGGGATTCTTTGACTTTCATAACTATTGATCTTTATAGATAGCTTTCCTTTTTTAGAACTACATCTAATAAATTTGTATGTCTTCTCTTCTGTTTCTATCTAGGCATTGTCTCTGGATATTGGGGAATGAAAGAACCCTGGCTCGTAGTGACTCAATATGGAAGGATTTAGTGTGTGATGCAAAGAATCGCCATTGTTTGTTTGATGCTAATGCTGATAAATGCTTGAAGAAGATAATAATAAATGCAAAGAAAGAGATAGAACCACTTAATGATATGGTTAAGGGGAATAGCTTACTTCTTAAACATGTAAAATGGAAGGTATTGTATCTTAACTTGACTTCCATTTAGACCATGATTCTTTTTTCCTTAAATATGTTATTATGTAATATCCTGTTTTTGTTCTTCATATTAATTCTTTTCAATTTATGCCATCAGATTCTCTTCAGCGATAATTTCAGAAAGTCATTTGGAAAACTGTCAGATTCTCGCATGAAGAATGTAGTTGTAGATTTTCTACAAAAACTTTCTGGTGGATGGAGGCCTAATGATGGAAACATAGATTGTAAAACACCATCAAAGGTATTGAAAACATATAAGGTTGAAGGGCTCCACCTTATTTGCACGATTGATATCATCAAGGAGTTGAAGTACATACAAGTTCTGAAGGTTTGGGATATATTACCTATAAAGGAGATTCCAAAACTGAGAAAACAACTTGACAGCATGTTTGCTACATACACTGAAGCTTATATGAATCGTTGTGCAACAAAATGTTTGGAGGGGTATGTACATACATTCTCCGTTTACTGAATCTTAAAGCTATTATAATGCATGCTTAGTTCATGCTCTTAACATTGTCATGTTGGATTTATATTGTTCAGAAACTTGGAAATTCCTAAGAGTTGGGCAACATCAAAAGCAATTATCCAATTTCAAGATGTAATAAAATGTGAAGGTGCCAATGAAGTGAGTGAAAGCTTGTTGCATATGAAGTTCTACTCCTTATCACCTGGGATGGTGGAATATTTGCGTTTTGGTAGAGAAATTGATCTACCTGTGAATCTCTCTGATGAACAAATGGACATATTTTTGTATTCCAAAAGTTCATGTATTATTGGGCAATCAGGAACAGGCAAAACCACTATATTGACAATGAAGTTGTTACAAAATGAGCAGTCTTTTCTTGCTATTTGTGAAGCAGAGAGAAGCCGAGTTAAAGATGCTGAAGTTGTTGATGATCATGAAGAAAGCAAACCGACTGTTTTGCGACAGCTTTTTGTGACAGTTGACCCAAAATCATGCTATGTGGTGAAGCAACATGTTTCCCAATTTAAAAGGTGTGCAAATGCTTGTTTCTTTTACTTATTTCTTGTCTTGGATTGTTTATACATAGAATTTTGTTATGTCATTTTTTGACTTCCAAGCGTTGATGTATATGGCAGTGTTTCATGTGATGGGAATTCATCAAGAGAGATTAATCTTGATGATGTAGATATAACATCAGAATCTGATGTGCCAGACACATTCATTGATGTTCCTGAGAAAAGTTATCCTCTTGTGATAACATTTCATAAGTTTCTGATGATGTTGGATGAAACATTGGGCGATTCATTCTTTACAAGATTTCATGTGGCAAGAGAAGGCTCTCATGGTAACCATATAAGTTCAAGATCTGTTGCATTGCAAACTTTCATAAGATCAAGAAACGTTACATTTGACAGATTTTGTTCACTCTACTGGCCTGACTTTGAATCAAGTTTGACAAAGAACCTTGATCCATCTAGAGTGTTCACTGAAATAATTTCTCAAATAAAAGGAAGCTTGCCAGCAGGAGAAAATTTTGATGGCAAACTGAGCTATGAAGGTTACTCTTTATTGTCCGAAGGTTGTGCATCCACTTTAACAAAACAGAAAAGAGACACTATAAGTTCCCTCTTTGAAGCCTATGAAAAGATGAAAGCTGAACGTGGGGATTTCGATTTGGGAGATTTAGTAAATGATCTTCATCATCGACTTAAAACCAGGGGTTATGAAGGCGACCAAATGGATTTTATATACATTGATGAAGTGCAAGATCTTAGTATGAGGCAGATTTCTCTTTTCAAATATATTTGCCAAAATGTTGATGAAGGCTTTCATTTTGCTGGTAATACTGCACTGAACATTGCAAGGGGGGTTGATTTTAGATTTAAAGATATACAATCTATGTTCTATAAAGAGCTTTTAAGGACCATATCAACCGAAAAACAAGAGAAAGCTAATGTATTGGAGATTTTGCAACTAAAACAGAACTCCAGAACTCATATTGGTGTGCTCCAATTAGCTCAGAGTGTTATTTACATTCTATACTCTTACTTTGCTCACTCAATTGATATTTTGGAGCCTGAGACTAGTTTTATTTCTGGGCAAGCTCCTGTTTTACTCAAGTCTGGCAATGATAAAAATGGGATTGTGACAATCTTTGGCAACACAGGAACTAGTGAAAAAACTGTTAGCTTTGGTGCTGAACAGGTGATATTGGTTCGCGATGAATGTGCAAAGACTGAGGTTTGTAAAGATATTGGAAATCAGGCTCTTGTTCTCACTATAGCAGAGTGCAAGGGTCTTGAGTTCCAGGTAAGTTCCTTCTTAAATCTTAATCATATCTTTTGTGATTTTGAGTATATTCTGCTTTTTGATGTCTCACACCCTCACATGGCCTGATTTTTTAGGATGTCTTGCTATACAACTTTTTTGGATCATCCCCTTTGAAAGACCAGTGGAGTGTTATATATGGATACATGAAAGAACACGATTGGCTTGATGAGAAACTTCCTCATTCTTTCCCGAGCTTCAAGGAATCGAAACATAATGCCTTGTGTGATGAATTGAAACAACTGTACGTTGCTATAACTCGGACAAGACAAAGGTTATGGATATGTGAGAACAAAGAGGAGCTCTCCAAACCAATGTTTGACTACTGGAAAAAGAGGGGCCTTGTGCAAGTAAGGAAGCTGAATGATTCAGTAGAACAAGCAACGGGATGTGCAAGCAGCCCTCAGGAATGGCTGGAGCGTGGTAAAAAGGTGGATGTTTAGTGTTTATCCCTTATTGAAATTATTTTATTCTGTTTTGCTGTTTTATTGTCTAAAGGGTGCTGATGACCTTTATATGTTTTCCAGCTTTTCTATGAGAACATATTTGATATGGCAACAATGTGCTTCAAAAGAGCTGGAGACTTGAAGTGGGAGACAATGGCCAAGGCTTTTGGTCGTAGAAAATCTGCTGAAGAAATTCGTGGAAAAAATCCTGAAAAAGCTTCATGTTATCTTAGAGAAGCTGCAAAAATGTTCGAGTCTATTAGGAAACTTGAGCTAGCAGCTAAATGTTATTGTGATTTGGGAGAGTATGAAAGAGCTGGTAACTTCTTTTCTCCGTCATAAAGACGTTTTTGTGCTTTTGTGCTACTTGATCAGTTGTGATTTTGCTCGGATCAGATGAAGTTTTTGTAAACTTCTATCATCTGATTCTAATTTTTTATACAGGAAAAATTTATCTGGATAAGTGTGGGGACATTAATGCAGCAGCAGAGTGTTTCATGCTAGCTGGATGTTATAGCGATGCAGCTGAAGCTTATGCCAAGGGACATCAGTTTTCTAACTGTTTGTCGGTTTGCAGAAAAGGGGAACTTTTTGATAAAAGCTTGAAGTATGTAGAATATTGGAATGAGCATGTTCATGTTCAAAGTAGAGAAATCGATAAAAACGAGCAAGATTTTCTGGAGGGTTGTGCTCTTTATTACTACGAGCCCATAGATCATAAATCCATGATGAAGTTTGTCAGAGCCTTTCGTTCTATGGAATCAAAACGTGTTTTCTTAAGGTGGTTAGGCTGCCTTGATGATCTTATGTTGTTGGAAGAAGAATCAGGACATTTCCTTGATGCTGCTGAGCTTGCAGGGTCATGGGGTGATGTTCTGAAAGAGGCTGATCTTTTGGAGAAGGCTTCTCATTTTGAGGAAGCAACATTGCTCATACTTTGGTATGTGTTCTCTAACTCATTATGGGGAAACAGAAACATAGGTTGGCCATTGAAGCATTTTTCTCAGAAGAATGAACTTTGTAAGAAAGCAAAGTCACTTGCAAAAATGGATTCGGACAATTTGTATGATTTTGTTTGTAGTGAAATTGAAGTACTCACTACTCAACAGAGTAGCATGTCTAAGCTGAAGAAGCATTTAGATGCTTCTCAACAACACAAGAGTCTGAGGGGAGAAATCTTATCGATCAGAAAGATTTTGGATGCTCATCTCCAGTTGGATATTGTAAACTATGTCTGGGAGGATGAGTTACCCTCTGATATTAGTAAGTATGTAGAGGACAAGATCCCTCAGAATCAAGTTTCTGTTAGAACTCTGGTTTTTTATTTTAATCTCTGGAAGAACAACGTAATGGATATCTTCCAGAGTCTTGGAGGTCTTGAGAATGCAGAAGCAAATCAGCATGAGGGTCATGTTGATTTCTGTTTAAATTATTTTGGTGTGAGGAAACAGTATGTAAAAGGAAACATTGTTTACTTGTTAGTCAACAAGGATTTTGATTGGGTAAGAAATGTTGGTGATGACAAGGGGCTTCATAGGGATGGAAAGATTCTAACTTTGGATAGCAAGCAGTTGGGGATTGCTATTCGGTCATATTGGCAGTCAGATTTACTTTCTGTGGGTGTAATGGTGCTTGAAACTCTTCAATCACTCTATAAGTCGACTCTAAATGGTTCTTCATTCCACCAAAGCACATCTCTTCTTCACATTTTTGAGGTATCCAAGTTTCTTTTAGACTGTCCGTATCTCAACCTCACAGTTGATCATATGAAGACTCTGCAAGTTTTTCTTGGAAGCTCTATGATTTATTTTGACCATGTGTTTCCATTAGACTGGCGAAAATCAGTCTCTTGGAACTTGATTTCCTTAAGGGAGAGTGATCTTTCGCTGAACTTGCTAGAGGAAGTTATTCTTCAGTACCTCAACATCGAAAGTGACCTCACTTATTGGACAATTGGGAGAGTGATGATGATATGTCTTAATTCCAGAAAATCTTTTGCACTTCATGATGAGAAGATTATCAGGGGCCTTCAATGGAATCCCTTATGGAAGTCATTTGTTGAGAAATTTCAGGAAGGTGGCTTCAATGATGTTTATGTTGCTCCATCACTCCATAATGCTATGGTAGATACTTATAGAGCTTACTGGATGTTTCCTGGCGACATATCACCTCACAGTTTTGTATATCTCTTGGATCGTCTTCTATTCATGGCATCTTTCTCCTCAGGAGTCTTTTTCACAACAAAATCTTCTTTTGTTGAATGGTATACACATCTTCACACAACGTGTACTCCAAATACAACTTTCTCAGATTCCAAACAGATCTTTTCGAAGGATATCACAGACTTTCTTGTTGGAATAGTTCAGCATATTCTATACAAAAAAGAGGAAACCATATCATGGATTGAACGATCGAACATTGTTGTCTCTTATTACCATCCACTGATAGCATTGAAGTTGGTTATGATAGTTTCTTTAATTTCTTTGCAATTATCAGATTGTTCCCAAGTAGTATTTGATTTGCTGTTGGGGTGGAACAACATTTGCTTATTTGCTTCCCAAGAAGTTTGTAGGTGATCTTCTAAGGAGAAGAAACGGTTGTATCTTGAATTTAAATCCAGATACGGTTGCAGAAGCATTTGCAAGCATTGAGGATCCTCTTCTAATTGTGAGTTCGGATAATGCAACTCCAAGAGTCCATGCTCCACGTGCAATATTTGTGGACCTTAAGAGACCTAGAGAAGAGATCATGAGTGTATTGTTCCCAGGTGAATTTACAGTTAATGGCCAGAAAGACAAAGCTACAATGATAACTGAGGCTCTTCGAGAGGCGAATCATGTTGAGGAAACTGGTGATGAACATAGCAATGGTGATCATTCACTGGTGGAATCAATTCTAGAAAAACAAAGCAGCAATGAGAACATGCAGGGTGCTGAAATCAAGAAAGGGCGACAAAGAACAAGGGGGAGGAGGGGTAAAAATAACAAAGCATGCAATGACCAGAAGCAGCTTTCTTCTCCATCTGACAAGAGGTTAGACTTGCAATATTGCAAATTTAAGTGGTTTATTATTGTTTAGATCAATCTAAACTGCATTTTTTATCGAACATTTTGTTTTCTTGCATTCTTTTGTCTTATTTATATACATTCATATGGGTGTCTGGCTATCAATTTCAGTCATCGTGAAGTGGAGCTTTCAGTTTCTAAGAGTCATGAAAAGGCGACTGTGCAAATCCATGAGTGGCTGCAAAGTAGCAGACCAATGGTAGATTGCAGCAACATGTGTGAGGTTCTTCATGAGGAGAATCATGTTGAGGAAACTTGTGATGAACATAGCAATGGTGATCATTCACTGTATGAACCGGAGGTGGAAAAACAAAACATTAACAATAACACTCAGCATTTAGGAAGCAAGATAGGGATGGGAAATAACGAAAGGAAGAAGAGTAAAAAGAACAGAAGTAGCAACACTCAAAATACATTATCTAATGTTCTATTGGATGGACAAACTTGTGCCAGAGAAGGTAGAACTCTACATGAAGCAAAAAACTCATGGGATGACCTTACAACTCTACACGAAGGAAACAACTCATGGGATGACCTTACAACTCCACCCGAAGCAAAAAACTCATGGGATGACCTTACAACTAAATATGAAGGAAACAACTCATGGGGTGACCTTACAACTCTACCCGAAGCAAGAAACTCATGGGATGATCTTACAAATCTACATGAAGCAAGCAAATCATGGGATGATCCTGCAACTCTACAGGAGGGAAACAACTCATGGGATGACATGAAGCAGCCTTCTTACGCATCTAATATGAGGTAAGACTTTCAATATTGTAACATGCTAAGTTGTCTATTAATGTTTAAACCACTTTAAACTAGAATATATATTGAAGAAGTATTTCTTTGTGTTCTTTTGACTCATTTATATACATATGGATGTGTGCACTATCATATTTAGTCGACCCAAAGTGGAGCTTCCTGTTTCTACTAGTGGCAAAAGGAGAAATGTCCAAGCAACGGCGGAGAGGCGGAGAAATGAGAACACACAGGATGCGGAAATCAAGAAAGGGAAGGAAAAGAATAAGGAAAAGTGGATTAAAAACAAATTGGTGCTAGAAAAACAAACCAACAATAAGAACACTAAGGATGTGGAAATCAAGAAGATAGGGAAGGGAAAGAACATTGATAAGGGGAGTAGAAAAAACAAAGGTAGTAACAGTGTAAATTCATTTACTAGTGATGCACACATCAATGATTATCATCCACAGGCGAAAATCGTGGTAGAAAAACAAAGAAGCAATGAAAACACTCCAGATGCAAAAATCCAGAAATGGAAGGGTAAGAATCCAAAGAACAAAGGTAGCAACAGTATAAATACATTTACTACTGTTCATGTGGATGAACAACACTGTGTTAGAGAAGCTACAATCCTACAGAGAGCAAACATGTCATGCAATGACCTGAACCAGTCTTCTTCTGCATCCAAGACAAGGTTAGACTTCCAATATTGTAGATTTTTTAGTGGTTTATTATTTTGGATTCAGAATTTTGTTTCCTTGTATAAGTTTGTCTGATTTATATACATGCATTTCAGTCGACCAGAAATGGATCTTTTAGTTTCTAAAGGTGGTGAAACGGCTGTTAAAACATTTGCGGAGAAGCTGCAAAGTAGCAGGCCAATGGCAGATGGTTTCTTTAATTATGTGGGTTCAGAGAGCAGCAACATAACTGAGGCTCTTCAGGAGGAGAATCATGTGGAGGATACTGATCATGATGAACTCAACATTGCTGATCATTCACCTCTGGAATTGTTGTTAGAAAAACAAAGCAGCAATGATAACACTCAGGATGAGGAAAACAGAAAAGGGAAAGGAGAATACGTTGCTGAAGAAGATACAACTCTGTTCACATCGAATAGCACATGTAGTGACCTGAAACCACCAACAGATACTCTTGATACGGGGTTAGTGATAACTTTTATTTATCAATGTTATTTACTAATAATCATAGAAAAATGCTGGGTAAAAAAGTGTTTTTGGTTTATATTTTTACTGGTTTTGTTGACCTTTTGTTGTTTAAAATGGAAATTTTATATACTTTGTTGTTATCTTTGTTTGCAGGATAAAAGCATCTGATGAGGTGAAATGTGGTAGCATTCTGGATATGGCAGCAGCATACTTGAGAATTCGCAGCTGGAGGAAAACTTGATTAAATGACATGGTGCTTTTGAAGGTCTTTCACACAAGCCTTCATGTAAATAAGTAAAAAAAAAAAGAGAGATTTCATTTAGTATCATGGTATTCTCCTCTCTAGGAATTAGAGGGAGGATTTCCTTACACTTAATTGGTAACTTTAAGGTTTAATTGGTTGGGCTCGAGCATGTGTGGTAGATCGGTCCATGTTTCTCTTTATAAGAACACATATTGTTCTATCTAGTAGTATATATACTGCTTTAAGGTTCATGAGCACTGCTTCCTTATGACACTTATAAGGTTCCATTTTGGTCTTGGGATTGATGATAGTATACTATCAATCATAATTGTGTGACACAATAGGTTCAATGGCAATAACATTAGTCCGTTATGGTGCTCACATACTTCAACAATCTTCCACTTGTGAAACTCATAACAATATTGTAAGATTAAGAACATAAATAACCTATCAAAGTATCACAAGATTTATCGTGAAAAAAACCCGAAACGGGAAAAAACCACTTTGAATGAACACTATATTAATCTCAATAGTTGGAGAGATTACAATGGCTTGGGTTTTGTTTAAACAGGAATGAAAAGATAATTAAAATTGTATCTAATATATCCTATATATAAGAATCTAATAAGAGTCCTAATAGAACTCTACTTGGAGAGCAAGGAAAAAAACGCCAGCCTTGGTGAACAAGGAAGCTATGTCAGCTTGCCATACTCTAGTGATAGTTTTCGGAAAGTGTCACCAAATAGAAATCTCATGCATGCATTTGGTTCGGATCATATTCAACAATCTCCACCTTTAGACAAGACCAAAAACTTCAACAATGCAACCTTCAACCATCGAGTGAAATAAAAAACAAATAATGTTCAAAAGTCCTTAAGGACCTAATTTGAAACACCAACCAAATCTGAATTTGGCGGTCGGAACCGGCTTCGTCATCATGTTGGTCTGGTTGTTCTTGGTGTTAATCTTTCTCACCTTTATATCACCTTGGGCAATAACATCTCTGATGTAATGGTAGCGTATGTCAATGTGTTTCGTTTGCTCGTGGAACATCGAATCCTTTCTGAGGCATATCGCACTTTGACTGTCACAATAAATTGTAATGCTTGAGAAATCACCACTTAGCTCATCGTACAACCCTCTAAGCCAAGTAGCCTCTTTACACGCTTTCGAAATAGCAATGTACTCAGCTTCCGTAGAAGACAAAGCAAGGTAGATTGAAGTGTAGCTTTCCAACTCACGACACAATCACCGATAGTAAAAACATAACCCGTGAGGGGTCTTCTTTTGTCGAGATCGCTTGCATAATCTGAATCAACGTATCCACATAACGTGATTGTTGATTTCCCAAACTCCAAACATGCCTTAGAAGTACCTTTAAGGTACTAGGACCATTGAACAACTTTCCAATGTTGCTTTTTCGGGATTAGCCATAAAACGACTTGCAACACTTAAAGCATGTGATAAGTAGGGATGGGAACAAACCATAACATACATTAACGATCCAACTGCACTTGAATAAGGAAACTTTGACATCTGATCAATTTCATCATTTGTTTGTGGAGAAAGACTAGAAGAAAGCCAAAAATGGCCGGCAAGCGGTGTACTTACCGGTTTGGCATTTTGCATGTTGAATCAGTCCCTTGAGATATCCTTTTTTTTATTTTTAGGTAAACACATGAATCGTAATCTGATCTTTTAAAGTTTTGAGACATCATAAAGTTATCAAACTTCTTGTACCATTGTCAAGGTGATTTCTTTAAGCTATAAAACGATTTCTTTAATCGACACACCAAATCTTCTTTCCTGGAAATAGCAAACCCTTCGGGTTGCTCCATGTAAATGTTTTCTTCTAAGTCACCGTGTAGGAAAGCGGTCATAACATTAAGTTGTTGAAGCACCAAATCATGCATTGCAACATGCATTAAGATATCCTTTTTTTTATTTTTAGGTAAACACATGAATCGTAATCTGATCTTTTAAAGTTTTGAGACATCATAAAGTTATCAAACTTCTTGTACCATTGTCAAGGTGATTTCTTTAAGCTATAAAACGATTTCTTTAATCGACACACCAAATCTTCTTTCCTGGAAATAGCAAACCCTTCGGGTTGCTCCATGTAAATGTTTTCTTCTAAGTCACCGTGTAGGAAAGCGGTCATAACATTAAGTTGTTGAAGCACCAAATCATGCATTGCAACAATGCTAAGTAAAGTACGAATGGAACTATACTTGACAATGGGAGAAAACACATCAATAAAATCTATACTGGGTATTTGGCTATACCATTTTGCAACGAGTCGGGTTTTGAATCTGGAATCTTCCTTTTTCTTGTACACCTATTTGCACCTAATTGGCTTCTTTTCCTTGGGTAATTTGACTAGTTCCCAAGTCTGATTCTTCTCTAGAGATTCCATTTCTTCTTGCATTGTAGTCATCCACTTGTCAGAATCAGAAGTAGAAATTGCTTCGGTATATGATGACGGCTCTTGATAATTTCCAGTTTCTTCGGTAACCGAGAAGGCATAAGCTACACTGAATTAGCAACATTAGTGAGACTAATAGGAGGTCTAATAACCATCCTAGGTCTATCATTTGCAATGGTATGAGATGGGGATGAAGAACTTGAAGGAGTCGACGAAACAGTGTTACCCGGGTTGAGTGAATTGTCTTGATTTTCGGTATTTTTAGAAGGGATAGTGTGCTCCACCTGAATTTAAGCACTCTCATGGGAATCAACAGGATTAGGAGAAGCCTGAGATGACTCTAAAATATTTGGCAAAGAACCATGTTAAGAATTGATATGGATGATGGGTGAGTAATACATCAGGGTTTCGTTGAAAATGACATTTCGGCTTATAATTACTTTGTTAGTCTTGGGATTCCAAAGCTTATATCCTTTCACACCTGATTTGTAACCAATAAAAATACATTTAATATCTCTATGATTCAATTTACCATTATCAACATGAGCATATGCAATACACTCGAAAATCCGCAGCTCCGAGTAGTCTGCGGGCGAACTGGATTAAACATCAATCAGAGTCTTCTTGTCCAATGGAATTGAGGGTGAATGATTGATCAAATGATATGATGTGGAGGCGGCTTCACCCTAAAATTTATGATGTAAAGATGCCTCGGATAGCATACAACGAGCCTTGGTAATGATGGTGCGATTCATCCGTTCAACTACACCGTTTTGTTGCCGTATATGAGGAACGGTGTAGTGACGGACAATACCTTCGGATTTGCAATATGATTCGAACTCTTTTGAGAAAAAATTCCATCCCGTTATCAGTCCCTAACTTTTTACTTTTCTTCTCGGTTTGATTCTTGATCATAATCTTCCATTTTTTAAAGGCAGAAAACACGTCATACTTGTTTTTCAGAAAATAAGGCCATACCTTTCAGGAGTAGTCATCAATTATCGTCAACATATAACTTGCACCACCAAGAGATTTGTGTTGGGAAGGACCCCACAAATCAGAATGTATGTAATCTAAAGTGCCTTTGGTGGTGTGCTTGCTGGTATTAAAATTTACACGCTTAGATTTAACGAAAACGTAATGTTCAAAAAATTCTAGCTTGCCTTTGTTGAAACCATCAAGTAGACACCGATTATTTAATTTGGACAATCCAAGTTCACTCATATGGCCTAATCAACAATGCCATATTTTAACCGCATCGGTTTCTGAAGATATGGTAGACAAAACTGGACTAAAGTTGGAAGCAGTTTTGGGATTAACCGAAGAACCTTGTTTATGCCGATTTTGGAATTTGTGAGAACCTTTCAGGATGATTTATCATGAGAATCAGGTATATGATTATTAGGAGTCACGAGAGAAGCGGAACCAGTGATAGTTGTACCCCAGACATAGTACAATCCATTGGATTTTCACAAATCATCTTTAATAACTACTAAAGAACCTTTTGAGATCTTTAGCATACCATCTCCACCTGTAAATTTGAAAACTTTGTTATCGAAGATACTAAGTGATATAAGGTTTCTTTTCATCTTTGGGATGTAACGAACATCAGTCAATGTACGAATAGTACCATCAAACATCTTGATACGAACAGAGTTGATTCCTTCAATTTTACATTGTGAATTGTCGAAACCAAGAACAGACCTAGTGTTGAGAGTTAGTTCAAAGGTGGAAACCAATATTTATGTGGGCACATGTGATATGCGCAAGCTGAGTTAAGAATCCATTCGTCATGAATATCAGCAACCCTGACTATAGCCGCAAGAACTTTACTGTCAGAATTGTTATTGTCACGAGCATAATTAGCCGATTTGTCTTCATCTTTCTTTTCCCCATTTCTCTTTTCTTTACTTTTCAATTTGTAACACTCTGAAATATCATGACCATTTATGTAACAATATATGAAATTTTTATCTTTGCCTTTGCCTCGAGATTTGGAACACCCTTTCTTTCCACGAAAGCCCCTATCTTTGGAACGACCCCGAACCGATAACCCTTCAGCTAGTGAACTACTTGCCCTATTTGAAGATACCATATCTTTCATCTTTTCTTTTGAATACAAAGCTTCATAAACTTCATGTAAAGTAAGGGTGTCGCGACTATAAAGAATTGTATCTCTTATGTGTAACGTCCCAAAAATACCGAGTAAAAATTTCATTTTAAATAAGTCAAAACCATTTATTCATTGAAACCAGAAATACCTGAAAACATTTTAAACATAAACCATAAGCACAAAGCTTAGTGATTTTCCCCTAAAATAGAACATACTATACAAATCAGTGGGCCTAACCCTGGGGTATGTTTCAACGCAATGCACATCAGTAGGCCCAGCCCAGGGGCCCAACCTGGGGGTATATTTCAACCCAATCGTACAATAATAGGCCCAACCCTGGGGCATATTTCAACCCAAACATATAATAGTGGGCCTAGCCTTAGGGTGTATTTCAACCCAAACATACATGTAAGAGTCACAAAGAAAACTAGCATCCTACATAACACAATCTAGTGCGTC